CTCTCTCTCTCGTTCCCTTGCTCGTAGCAGGGGCCCGTTCACCCGCTGCCACCCGCTGCCGCTCTCACGCACACATACGCACACACACACAAACACACACACACACACACATCATTAGCGCTATGGCCGTCACTCACTGCGGTTTCGGCAATACACACCGCACTGTGAACAACTTGCAAGAGGGGAGTTGGCAGCAGCGGAGGGGGAAGGTGCGGTCGTTGGTGGCCGTTGCCGCAACGGGCGCAGCAACGGCCGACCAACCACTCTCATGCGACCGCCCTGCACCCGCCGCCAAACACGTGTCCCAAACGGGACACTTCTTTTTTTTTTTTTTTTTTTTTACAAAAACAAGGTAATTGTTCTTTTTTATATTTTTTAGTCGCAAATTCCGTCCCAGATTTCCTTCGTGTAAAACAGCAGTCGTAACAACAATCATTCAGTATGGACCAGCCATCACCAGCGAGCCACAAGAGCCGCTGTTACCTCTCCACGACCCAACACCTACCCTAAACTGCGAGTGCTCCTACCTTCACATGTACCATTGTCACATCCGCCTTTTATTGAATCGTAGATGAGGAGAGGGCAATCGAAACCACACCCACACATCGCGTTGGCATATTTTCCCATACAACAGCGTGTGATCATGTATAGCCACATGGAATCAGCGTGCCAGAACAACAGATAAACACGCTGAACCGAGCGAACATATTCAATCGAAGAGCGCGTTGCAGGCCTCCCGTCCGCTTCTGCTCGGTTCATCGGTAATATAGCATGAGATGACGCCATAACAGATCTGAACAGACCGTGTTAGAGTCCCTTGGGAAGAGTGTGACGACAAGTCTCCCTCCCGAGCTCCATACACTCACATCAACGACGGCGATTCCCATACATCAGCATCCCCCCTAACACTCGAGTACGAGTATCAGGAGGTCACACACAGACCGTCTTATAGTCACTCCGTCTTAGACTACTGCCTCTGCTCACCAACATCTTAACCCAAATTCCATCTTACAAAAAACCCGCGCGCATCGCACCTCTTCGTCCCTGTTCCAATCTCACCCTCTCCGAATTCACTTCAGAAAAGTCGACTTGCGCAATTCAATTCAATCGCCTCGGAGTCCCGAAGCACTCCACTTTCAGATCAGGCTTCCGCTAAGCCTATTTTTTCCCCTCGGGCGTCATCCTCTCTTCTCATTTCAAGTTTTGCATCCCCACAAGAGGCATCCCCTATCCCGGCGACAGTTTTGCATCCCCACAACAAGCATCCCCTATCCCGGCGACTGCGGATACACTAAGGGCGTCGCCGCACGGGACACGAAACGAAAAACGAAACGAGTGCATCTTCCTGCAGAAAATGGCCAGGTTCATCGGTTTGCTATAAATAGTAACGAATGTATTTTGCCACCTTTCGTGAGCAGATGCACTCATTTCGTTTTCGTTTCGTCTGCCGTGCGGCAAGACCATAAGTTGAACAACCACACTCCATACTCTACATCTCCCAATCGCACGGACGGCAAAGGCAAGGCAATAAAACTCATCATACTATACATTTCCCCATCACGCGGCCAATGCTCTACCCCTACAAACGTATCATTATCATCCTGCTATGTATTGTTACATGAACAGACGCAGGATCTTCGCCGATCGGTGTGATACCCCTTCGATGAAAACGTAGTTCCTTATCGGGTTAAGTCGATACCCTCGACGTCGCCCCCATGTGATTTTCCCTGTCACCGTACGACCCTACGCTCCCACTAGAGGTGACCATTCTTCTGTGTGACACGCTTCCCAGCCACAGATAGAGAAGGGATCGTAAGGTCGTGCTTTGGTTAGTGTGCAAAGAGGAGGAGGGTCTATGTTTCTCGTATTCTCATTGGCCACCAAATGTGGCAGGTTTTACTTTGTTTACAATTTGACGAGTTTTCATTCCTGGCATGTCTGTTCATGGGTGAGGAATGAAAACCGGTTCGAAATTGGAAAATCCGCGTCAAACTGATTTGGAAAAAGAAAATTGGTAATGGAACTGTGTCAGTCTGAGGAACTGCCACTGCACCGCTGCAGACTCTGTCAGTGGACAGGCACACACTGCCCCTAGGAGCGTCAAGTTTCCTCAAACTTGAATCTGGACGTCTTTGTGGAGATGTGAAGAAATCCCGTTCTGTGGCTTCCTGAAACACACATTTCCACAACCAAATTGTCGCAAGGTCTCTCTCTCTCTCTCTCTCTCTCTCTCTCTCTCTCTCTCTCTCTCTCTCTCTCTCTCT